TGTTAAATAGGGACCCTTTCTACTATATCATCATAAGTCTTTCCTAGTACTGCTCAGCATGACAATTGAGAGTGTTAGGTCTCAGTTTAGTTGGTCCCAGATTTCAATCTCACTCCACAGTAACTGGCTGAGAAGCCTAGGAACTTCTCTTTACCTTCTTTGTGCCACTTAGCTCATTTATAAAAACCTGAAAACTTAGCCATGAGCCCGGTGGCTCACACCTGTAATCCTAGCTACACAGGAGACTGAGATGTGAGAAAGCCAGCCCAAACAGGAAAGTCCCTGAGACTCTTATCTCCAATTAACCACCAGAAAACCGGAAGTGGCACTGTGGCTCTAGTGGTGGAGCTCTAGCCTTGAGCTGAAGAGCAAAGGGATAATGCCCAGGCCCAGAGATCAAGCCCCATGACCGACAAAAAAGAAAAAAAAGAAACCTGAAAACTTGATCATAGGTTCTTTTTAAGAATTAATGTATTAACTTTCTTACTGTATCTCAAAATACACAGTCTTCATAATTAATTGACTGGTCTTTTGTTTATTTTGCTCTGCTTAATTCATCATTAAAATGTACAGATAGCATGAAACTCTTAAACTTATTCTGAGCATGAATAGTAAACTCCAAAAATTATTAGAAATACAAATGAGCAAGGATCTGACTCTATTTTATTGTGCATCTAAATTTGTTTGTAAGTACAAATTGTGACAGATTAATGCATATATGAAGGAATGTATGACCAAATGGCCTTTCTTATAATTGGAAAATAAACTCAAGACAGTAAAAATAATTGATGTTATAGACAAATTGCACAATGGGGAAGAAATAGATTGGGAACACTTCTAAAGTCCATTTCAATTAAAAATGTTGAAATGTCTTCATGAAATTAGAAGCATTTAGGAAATACATCGACCACAAGGACATTATTAACTCACTTTTATAGGTGTTGTCTACACAAACTAAGGTTTAAATTATGTGCCCTAAATTTAAAATAGGAGATGATGACAGATTATGACAGAGTGGTGTTCTCACATGGAGAAATTAAGACTCTATGGTCCAGTATGCTGGACCTGGCATCTGAACTAACCAAAGTATGTTCATTATAAATGAAAAAATAACTTTTAATGTGAATTCTCATTTCAGTTGAATTACTGGTAAAACTAGCCTACTTAAATAGAAGGCAAGGAACATTATTCTGTAGGGTCATAAGTCCATTCCAGTGTTTCTGCCCAAGTAAATTCCATTGCACATATTTATCTTGTTGATGACCTTTGTTCTTTATGTCTGTGATGTAAATGCTGTCTCAAGTGCACATTGAGGCTTACATCTCCTTCAGGAACATAGTTTGCATCTCATCATAACCTCAAATCCATTAGTGCATTTGGTGCTCTCAAAAACATATTAGAAGAAATTTTACAATATCATGGAAAACAAAAATCTAGCACATTAATTCCAGAATACATAATATTAAATACACTCATTCCTAAAACCTTGACAATTACAGAATTTAAGTGAGTGAAATGAATTTTTGGTAAACTAGTTGTTTGGTCAGTTTGTCATTTGGCAAAGTAATAAAGTTAGTCAAAGTTAACTTAGAGATAATTTATAGTCCTTTTCCTAAAACAGCTTAAAATACAATCAATCAAAGTAAACATGTCAGTTCCAGAAGAAAACTTTTCATTTTCCATATGACTGATGCTCACTAAGGGAACAAAAGATGTTCTCTTGCCTCCATTTTAATGTGGTAACCACATGACCTGACTTGACTTGAGTAATGTGCATAATACCATACCAGGGACACAAAAAGCACCAGAGCTACTATTTGGGAACTGCTCAGCCTGGTAGTTTATTGGTGAAGGGACAAAAGAAGATCAATAGTACAACTTTTGAGAGATCTGAGTGTTCATCAATCACTCAATCTGTTGGAATTGTTTCAAGGATGTTTCTTTGTACCTCCATTGTAATTATGAATAGCTTGACTTCCCTAAAATAATACTCGTGAGTTTAGACCTGGGATCCAATTATCTAGGATCATATGCTTCTGTAATTTTAAATCATTTCCTAACTTTAGTCTTGTTTTGTGTAATGCCCTTTCCTTAACCCCTCTTACTGTTTTTTTCTTTATTATTTTCCTATTCTGATACACTTATAATTAGATTCATTTTGAATGGAAAATATCACATGCTAAGTGCTATTCTATTAACAATTTATTGTGGTTGTTGCTTATAAAAAAAATATATGTTAAGCTAAGCGCCAGTGGCTCGTGTCAGTAATCCTAGCTACTTAGGTGGGTAAGATCTAAGGATTATAGTTCAAAACCAGCCCAGGCAGGAAAGTCCAAAAGACTCTTACTTCTAATTACCCACCAGAAGTCCAGAAGTGGAGCTGGGATTGAAATGGTATAGCACTAGCCTTGAGCAAAAAAGCTCAGGGTGCTAGGGCCATGAGGTCAAGCCTCAGGACTGGCATTAAAAAAAAAAATGTTAAGGATGTAGATAATAGGATTATCATTCTTGACAAACAGAATACTCTTTCCCAAAAGAGTATGATATTGTCTTGGAAATACCAATTATAATATTATAAAACTATCTGAGATGATTTTAAAAGGATTTAGAAAAATAGAAATGAGAGAAACACATAAAATATAAATTGAATTTCACAAATAGTTAAATGTATCTGATAAAGTTTCTACTAGGAACATGCCTATTTTATACAATATCTAAAATTCTATTTCTGTTGTTTAAAACAGCACATAATAAGCCAAGCAAATGATTTCAATATTTATTTTAAGAACTGCAAACAATGATTTTAATCACTGATATAAAATAATTATTTAATTAGTTTTCCCATATAAGATATTAAAATTCATGGACATTTCTGGTACAATAAAATGAGTAGGGGCTGGGAAGGTGGCTCAGTGGTAGAGCGCTTGCCTTGCATGCTCGAGGCCCTGGGTTCAATTCCTCAGCACCACATAAGCAAAAAGAAAAAAAAAAACGGAAGTGGTGCTGTGGCTCAAGTGGTAGAGCGCTAGCCTTGAGCTGAAGACCTGAGAGGCAGCGCCCAGGCCCAGAGTTCAGGCCCCATGACCGGACCCAGAAAATAAATAAATAAATAAATAAAATGAGTAGAGAAACTATTGAAATTTGATTTGTCAGTTACACTGCAGGCAAGTAATATCTTCAGTCGTTCAAGTTGTTCTGTCAATTATTTGATCTTTTTCTGTCTGCAAAAAAAAGTGAGCAGAATGGGCTGGTAGGAGAAGAATGGGTGAGAATAGTGAGAGCGGTGACAATGATCAAGATGATTTGTATTCGTAAACTGCTTTGTTAAATGAAAACTCATTTGTACAACTACTTAAAGATAATTTTAAAAATTAAAAAATGGGGCTGGGAAGGTGGCTCAGTGGTAGAGCGCTTGCCTTGCATATATGAGGCCCTGGGTTTGATTCCTCAGCATCACATAAGCAGAAAAAGCCGGAAGTGGCGCTGTGGCTCCAGGGGTAGAGCTCTAGCCTTGAGCTGAATAGCTGAGGGACAGCACCCAGGCCCAGAGTTCAGGCCTAGGTCCAACAAAAAAATAAATAAATAAATGAGTGGGTAAGGTGAGTCCTAAGAGTATCTACATTAATATGTCTGTTCAAATCTATCTGAATTAAGATTGGCTGATGCTCTGAGCAATGGCATTTCCTAGTATGCAATAAATCAATAAAAATAGTTCATTAGTAAAGATAGCAGGTTTAAAGTTTGTTGGATGTAAGTGAAAGGTATTTTGCCATTACAGAAACTTGTTGTTTGTTCTTAATTCTGTATGTTAATTTATGTTCTTTAAAACTATTTTATGGTACCGTTTAAAGAGGCACATGTTCTACTCTTGATAAAATAACCCAGTAGAAGAAAGCTCACTGACTTTATTCTACACATCCATTTTATTTTTGTTTTTTTTTTTTTGGGGGGTCCAGTCGTGGGGCCTGAACTCTGGGCCTGGGCGCTGTCCCTCAGCTCTTCAGCTCAAGGCTAGTGCTCTACCACTTGAGCCAGAAAGCCACTTCAGGCTTTTTTCTTCTTTTTTTGCTTATGTGGTGCTGAGGAATCGAACCCAAGGCCTCATGCATGCAAGGCAAACGCTCTACCACTGACCCACCTACCCAGCCCCTCTACACATCCATTTTAAAACATTGTTTTTATTCAGAGATATGCAAGTTCTAGGTTTTGGATAACATTCTTAAAACTGAGAGAGATCAAGACATAGATGCAAGCCAGGTGCTGGTGGCTCATGCCTCTAATCCAGGCTATTCAGGCAGTTGAGCTCTGAGGATCTTGATTCAAAGCCAGCCTGGGCAGAAAAGTCCCTGTGAGATTCTTTTCTCCAATTAACCACTCAAAAACCAGCAGTGGTACTGTGGCTCAAGTGGTAGACTGCTAGCCTTGAGCATAAAGAGGCACAGGGACAGTGCCCAGGTCCTAAGTTGAAACTCCACAACTGACAAAAAAGACATAGATGGAGAGAGCCTGAAAGATACTTTGATTGAGATATATATATATATATATATATATATATATATATATATCATACATACATACCCATAGCTAGATACATACATACATACATACATACATAGCACGCATACACTCACAACATACACACACAGCACATATATATAACATATTCACAGACAGAAAATACAGTGAATGATAGATTACCGAAACTTTCCCTGTTACTGTATCCTAGAAATACGAGCATTTGGATTTCACTTGCACTTGCAAGTCAGCAAATCACTTTAGAAATCAATCTAGGTCTACTATCATCCATGGAAAGCAGTAGGAACTATTGAATTTTTAATTTCTCAATCTTAGGGGAACTCATAAACTCTTTTCTGAGCTCTCCCTATTTGTTTCTTCCCAGAAGACAGATTTATTGACATTTTATTATTGATTCATTCAGTATACATGTGTTTCATCTCCACATTTCTCTTCTCTTTCGCCCCCATATCTTTTTTATCCAGTATACGGTGTGGACTGCCCTCTGGGTCACCTGGAATGTCTTCATTATCTGCTTCTATTTGGAAGTAGGGGGCCTCTCTAAGGTAAGTTTATGATGCCTTTCATGTCTTTGAAAATAGTGCACTTGTGGAAAAAAAACTATTTGAATGTGATATATTCTGTTATCATTGTATATAAGTAATTTAAGTAATATTGCAAATAGGATTCTAATTTTAAAAAAAGAATGCTGGTACTATCAGAAAAAAAAGGATCTCAGAAACATGAAATATAAGGAACTTCAAAAAATTGTCCTCTGGTTTTGTTCATGGTAGTAATATAGGATTTGGCTTCTAGGTCATCCTCATATCTATTTCAAGAAGACATAATGTCTCAGTGAACTCTGCCTCCAATGTTAAGAGCAAATTGATTTTGATCGTTCTTGTGTGTAAAGTAGAAAAAGGTATTGGCAAAGAATGAAATTGTTATCTAAGTGGGGCACATGTTTACAAACACACAGATACATTCACATAGTCACTCCTAGTCTGAAATCCTATCAGACAGAAGACACTTGTATTAATGCCTATCTAGCTCTAGCAGAACACTATTTTCTATAAAACAATGTCTTTATGGCTTTTAAAGTAATGTTTTTTCTTTGCCATCTAGCACACTATTCACTGCACAAAAGAAATGTAAAACTAGAATTGAAAAGGTATATGAAGGCTGCTGTTATTTTTACATATCTCATTATCAAGTAAATTTTACATATCACAATATCAAACATGACAATCTCAGGTTCTAAATAATATACTTATCTTTCAATCATGTTCATGGTTTAGATATCAGAAAAGCCATCTTGACCAGCACATTTAGAATTGTTGGGTTCCATTGTAGTATATATGGTAACAAAGCATATTTCATTTAGCCAAAAAGCAAATATTCTGGATTTGTTGTAGAACCTCCTGAGGAGGTTCCTCTTTCTTTCTATACTATGATCACTTCAAAATTACAACTTAATCCATACTAGCTACTCAAAAGGCTGAGATCTGAGGAATGTGGTTTGAAGCCAGCCTGGACAGAAAAGCCCCCATGAGAATCTTATCTCCAATTAACCACTAAAAAAAAAAAAAAAAAATGTGGTGCTGTGGCTCAGAGTGGTAAAGCACTAGCCTTGAGAAAAAGAGCTCAAGGACAGTCCCCAGGCCATAGATTCAAGTCCCACAATCTACCCTCTCCCCCCCACAAATTAGAACATACCATTTTCTCATGTCAGTAAAAATAGGAGCCAAAAATATCATTAGTAATATTCAATTCCACAGGTAAGTACTTAATATTTATTCTGTTGATTGCATTTTGCCACTGTTTCTCTATTGTCTCTTCTTCTTTCTCTTTTTTTTTAACTTTAGCTAGGTTTGAATTCAGGCCTCTCTATTTGCTGAGCTTGCTTGCTGTCTGGCACTCCTTCACTTGAACCACACCTTTAGCCTTGAATTTGTTGTTTTTATTTTTGTTTACTTTTTGAAGATAGAACCTCACAGACTGTTCTTCATGGGGTGGCTTTGAACCACCATCTTCTATATTTTAGCTTCCTGAGTAGCTAGGATTACAGATGCAAGAAATAGCGACCGGTTGGGCTGGGAAGGTGGCTCAGTGGTAGAGTGCTTGCCTTGCATGCATGAGGCCCTGGGTTTGATTCCTCAGCACCACATAAGCAACAAGAAAAAAGCCGGAAGTGGCGCTGTGGCTCAAGTGGTAGAGCGCTAGCCTTGAGCTGAAGAGGTGAGGGACAGTGCCCAGGTCCACAGTTCAGGCCCCACGACCGGACCTCCCCCCCCTCAAAAAAAAGAAATAGCGACTGGTTACCACTGATATTTAACATGGAACAAAAGTACTTAGGTCTATGTGTCGGTATCTCCTATAAATGTAGATTTTAAAGTAATTTTAAAATGCTAATCTTATGGTAGGAGCATTATGAATAATGAGTTAGTTATTACATTTTCAACCTGTAGAGTCTTCTATCTTGGGATTCAAATAGCCATTTTAAATCATGTTTTTATTTCACTGAGTAAAAATTATTTTTTTCCACATGAATTGATTTGGAATAAATTAGACCAGAGGAAGTTTGTCCTGTGGAATTGGCATCATAGTGTGCTGAAAGAAGACTGAAAATCAAATCATAAATATTTAGTTCAAATCTCATCTTTAACACTCATTAACTTTGGGCTGTTAGCAAACCACTTAACCCTGCTGAGTGTGTATAAGGTATGGTAACAGAGCTGGCTTAGCAAGTAATGATAGAAGTTCATGTTTGTTGACTGCTTCACATTACTTGGACATATTCTATCTGGCAATTCAGGTAAACTTAAGAACAGCTATGTGACACAATAATCACAAATAAATAAATAAATAAATAAACAATTATTTTGTATGACTTTTTTAATATCAATATGCTTCAATTTTTTGAATGCAAGATTAAAAAGCATAGACTCACAGCTGTTAGTTCATCATTTTCTTACCCATTCAAATGCCATTAAGGAATTAATCATATTCATCATCACTAAAAAAGATACAAAACTCCATAGAAATCATTCTAAATCTTTTTTTGTTGATTGGCCTCAAAGACTGGTTATATCTCTCTGGCTAGCCACAGTTTAGCTTCGACTGGAGGACATCTTTGAAAAAAAATAGAATGAGGTAAAGATCCTTGACAAAAATAAATGCTCTTGCCATTCTTGCCAACTGGATTCCACTAGCTATGAAATTATTCCTTGCCCAGGGGTGCGTTGATGTACTCACTTTCTAGAACTTCCCAATGTCCTGATCGTGCATAAGGAACTTCTTAGAATTACTCACTTGAACAGATTAACAGAAACTACCATATACTTTCTCCTAATATACAATTATAGAGTATTGAGACTACATAAATTATTCTCCAAGTAATTTGCACATCATTTCTTCAAAATTGGTTATTCTAGGGACAGATATGATCTACGATTGGTCAATTTGCTCTCCATGATGTCCCTTGTGTTTACAGACTTGCATCCATCCATGCTTTAAGAACAGCCCTGGCTCTGCTGAAAGGCAGTGAACCATAGGCAAGGCCTTTTAATGCTTAGTAGGCTAAAGGTGCTCATTGAATCCTGTGGATTCAAAATGCCTTATTTTAATTTCTAATAACATGAATAATTATGAGTGTAATCTCAATAATCAAAAGCTCTTTTGGATATTCACTAGCTTTTAACAATATAAAAGAATAGTGAGGCAAAAGTTGTAGGATCATTGATTTACAGTAACCAGTATCAATAAATAAGTAATGCATACACTGAAAGCAATCAGTGAGAAACTGAAGCAGATGGTACAAACAGAAATAGCAGTATGACAGATAAAAAAAATTATTCTGGACTATATACTCCATTTAAACACACAGATTAGAACACTACATTTTAAGACTTTTTTAAGAGAGAGCTCAGAGCTATTTATATGAAATATACTGTATGTCTGCATTGATAATTTTTTTATTGTGAAAATACCGTACAGAGGGATTACAATTACATGAGTAAGTAATGAGTACATTTCTTATTAAGCATTGTTGCCTCCTCCTTTGTTTCCCCTTCCCATCCCTTCCCATCTCCCGGCCCCCGTTCCCCACCCCCACCCCCACCAAAGTTGTAAAGTTTGTTTTTCAATATAATGTCTTATACTTCTCATTGTTGCAATGGGTCCACCTGTATCCCTATTTAAACAATTTGTTTGTTCCCTTCCCCTCCACAAAGTATACCAACATCAAATACAGTGAAAACAGGGGTTTACCGTGGGGGAGGGACATACAAAGCAACAAAGAAATCATCTTATAAATATGTTAGAAACCATAGCAAGAAAGAAAAACCATTTGAGTCCTTATCTTGGAGTTCATTTGGCCTAACCTCGACTTATCTGACCATTTCTGCTTGTCTCAGACATATACTAGTTATTGCAAATAAGGGAAACCATGGAACCTATGTTTCTTTGGGCCTGGCTTACTTCACTTAATATAATTTTTTCCAAGCCTTTCCATTTCCTAACGAATGGGGCAATGTCATTCTTTCTGATGGAGTCATAGAATTCCATTGTGTATATATGCCACATTTTCTTGATCCATTCATCTACTGAGGGGCACCTGGGTTGGTTCCATATCTTAGCTATGGTAAATAATGTTGCAATAAACATAATTGTGCTGGTAGCTTTAGTATGGTCTTGTTTGTGATCATTTGGGTAAATTCCCAAAAGTGGGGTTGCTGGGTCATAGGGGAGCTCTATATGGAGTCTTTTGAGGAACCTCCATACTGCTTTCTAAAGTGGTTGAACAACTTTAACACTCCCACCAACAATGTAGTAAGGTTCTCTTCTGTCCACATCCCCTCCAGCATGATCAACCTCCCTAGCCATAAAAGAAATGCAAATCAAAACAATACTGAGATACCACCTCACCCCAGTTAGAATGGCTATAATCAAAAACTCTAATAACAACAAATGCATTGATAATTTTTAAAAGTTGGAAAATATCCTAGCTACTTGGGTTCTGAGATCTGAGGATCGCAATTCAAAGCCAGTCGGGGAAGGAAAGTCCAGGAGACATTTATCTCCTGTTAACCACCAGAAAACCAAAAGTGACACTGTGACTCAAAGTGATAGAGCACTAGCCTTGAGTAAAAATTGCTCAGTGACAGCATCTAGGCCCTGAGTTCAAGCCCCAAGACCTACAAAAAAAGGAAAAAGTTGGAAAATATATGCCATTAATCAGAAGGTAGCCTCTGTAGTTATATTAATAACCAAAATAAATAGACCTTATTTCTTAAATACTAGTCAGATTATTCATACATATAAAAGAAAAATACCTAATAATACCATCAAGGTATCAAATAGATATGATATTCTTAAATCATACCAAAAAAACCCTCAAATTTATAGAACACATGAAGTTTTAGAACACTGAACTCTTTTTTAGGGAAAAAAAATAGAGAAATTGTCAAATTCACAAGTGTAGATGGAGTTTAATAATTCATTTTTTATTGAAAGAAAAAAAAAGTAGCCATAAGTCAGTAGAAATTAGAGGCTTGAATAACACTGT